AGAAGGATACGACAAAAACATGGATTTCATATATAAAACATGTTTACAAAACAAAAAATAAAAGAACACAACTTATCTCACAATCCTTCCCAAGCAAATCTTTAGAAGTTCTCTTCAAACACTTTCTCATTTTATAAGCACTCTCAATTCTCTCTTAGAAAAGAAATGAAGAAGAAATCTCTCACCTTCCCTCTCCTCTTACAATCCTTGAAGAAAATCTCCAAGCCATTGAATTTCTCTCTCTCTCTTGCGCTCTTCAAAAATCCCTCACACGCCTCCTTCTTCAAGCCCTAGACTTCCCTCTCTTCAAGCCCAAAATTCTGTCTAAAATTCAACCCTTTTGAATTTAAAAGACATGTCTACTGATCCAAGAGACATATTTATTCATAAAAGAACCTTTCAAAGGGTCTAGATGCACTGAGTCACTCTATGGGGCGTTTAGAACAAGTGTTCCTTTCAAAATTTGTGCAAAATTTATCCCAAACCACCTTAATCTGCAAAAAAGTCGTCTGTGGCACTTCAGGCGCTAGTTCTAGCACTTCAGACTCCAACTTACTTAAGACCGCATTGTTTTGGATTTTGGCATTTCAGGCACCAAATCTGGTGTTTCAGGTGCCAACTCTTTGTCAAATGGCACTTCAGATATCAATTCTGGTGCTTCAGGCACCAACTCTCTGTAAAGTGGTGCTTGAGGTGCCAGTTCTGGCACTTCAGGCACCAGAATCCCAAAATTTGTTATTTTGGCTCCAAATTTAATCATTTTTGCTACTTTTGCTCCAAATGCCAATAATTGATATACCTGCAACAAAAATATAAAAATACCCTTCTTTAAAGTGCATTATCACCAAAATTAAGTATAAAATGTATAATTAAAACAACATATTATTTTGGTGTATCACCCATCCTCAATTTCTAATTGTGTCAGAACTATGACTTGTCTTTTCATAGTTGGGAGGTGCACTTGTATCCTCTAAAGCCTATTTATTAAATCTAAAATTAGGATATACTAGAGATATGCAATGTTCTAGCGTTGGATATGTTCTCTTTGTCCTCTGCTTTTTATTCCTGACCTAGTCCTTCTACCACGACGAGGCATCTATCACACAGAAATTTGAGGGGCTGGAGGATGACACCTCCATTTTATAGCCCGAGATGTATGCTTTTACAACAAGGGTTGATTAAATAGTTTGCTTCCTGGCTACTTAGTTGGAGATGTATTGTAGGAACCAGTGGATTGGAGGTGACACTCCTATTGAGTTTCTAGTATATTCTTCTTAACAAATTTATGAAAGTATCTGACAGTCAATGGAGGAGGATTCCATTGGAGAAGAGGAAGAAGATGTGGGAGTTGATGATCAAGAGGAGGACGAGTGAATTTTCTTTTTAGTTGGGTGCATAAGATTTTATTTATTGTAATCATTATGGAGGCTATCTAGACTTCTGTTATATACATGTTGGCCTCTATGTGCAATTCTTTCAGGCTATATTTTTGTTTAGTTCAATTTTACTTTCTATTACATACATGTTTAGTTATGTTGATATGATCATGAGGTATGAAATTTTTATGTACTCTTACTCGCAATTTTTAATGCATGTCCAAATTGATGCATTTGATGGAAACTAAGTTTAGGGGGTGGGGTGGGGGGGACAAAAATCATGCTAAACTTAACTTTATTTGTCCCTATGTAATTTAATTTAAATAGATTTTTTTTGGTTCTCTTAAGGAGAGTGTCGTTAATTGTGGAGTGATAACACTTGTGGTGAAGGAAAACACAATTTATTAATGTAAACTATAGGCATATTAAGTAATATTAGTGCTAATAAATTTTTGCAAACTAATATGTGAAGGGGTGGTCATCATATCTACTTTTCGAAAGGATTGACTATTTTTTAAAAATATAGGTTTATAATAAGATTTGAGCCTCCATAAAATATTTAATTTCTTTCTTATAAATTCTTCACTTTTAAAATGGTGAGTGGGAAAGATTTGTGGAGGGTTGAATTTAGAAAGAGAGTATTAGGATTCAAAATCATTAAAGGCCCATCCCAATATAGTAATCCATAAGAAGTTATGCTTAGGATTGAAAAAATCATCCTAAAGTAAAAAAAAAAAGCGTATATAAGAAAAATATAAATTGATAAGTTTGAGGAGAAGCCTTACCAAAAATTGGTTTTACTACCATCTCGTCCTAAATTAAAAAAAATCCACAATATTCCTTAATTTCTTGAATGTGCTCAATTCTTGTTATTTGGCATTTACTTAATAGTAAATGATATAAACTAACTTATTTTTTAAATGATGTAAAATCGCACTTTATATGTTAAGTGTAACTTTTTTAAAAGCCTATGAAATGGACATAGTCACAAGAGTAAATGTGTTGATTTAAGTAGGAACCTTTGAAGCAAGATTGCAGGAAGCTTTGCATGATACCCACTCCTTTGAGTTACCTAAATCATTCTTTAAATTGAAGTGTTACTTGTGGAAAAGTTGGATATCTTGGTGCATGAAAAAGTTAATTAGAATTTAAGATATTGCACTTTAAGGAAGGAATTTTTTTTGTTTTTCTTTTAGGTATAATACATAATTGAAATTGGGAAGGTAGGCGAAGACAAAGAGCTTAAAAGAGAAAAACTGCTTTCTCAACTCCTAAGCGCAGACCCTTGGGTGCCTAGGAGCCCGTCCTAAAAGAGCACACCCCGAGCGATTGACGCTTAGGTGCCATCCATTGGGTGTCTAGGCGTCGTGATACTAGTGGCTAGGAGCCGAAACCTTGGGCGCATAGGAGCTCATTCTACCTGAAGCATATAGGGAGCCTGACGCCAGTTTAACCTCAAGCATACAAAGAGCCTAGCGCCAAGGCACCAGACCCTTGACACATAGACATTAACAACTTTTAGGAGGTTTGTGCAAGTCAAGTGTTAGGTCATAAGGAAATTGTGTGCTGAAGGTGAGAGTCGTGGATGCTAGTTATTGGAGCCTATAAATAATCATGTATTTTTGCCTTTTAAAGGATTGATGCCAGTGAACTATGGATTGATGCTCTTGGGAGTACTTAGAGGGTTTTTCTTGGAGCTTCTTGTTCTAGTGCAGGAGAAGGGGAGATTTTCTAGTGCAGAGGCTTAACAAATTAGGACGTGTGCATGTTAAGTCAAGTTCTAGTCATTGTAAATGAGAAACTATCAAGTATCTTTGTATTTTCTTGGTGTATTTCAATTGTAACATTGATTAGTAGATTTCTCTTTTGTTCAATACATTTGTCTGGTGAAACCAGCATGCTTCTTAGGGAAAACTTTGTCTCTTTCTTGTGATGATTAGGTAGATGAATGGATTATAAAGTGTTATGTAATTTCCTTACTTTTAATTGGTGTTGATTAACCTTAGGAAGTTAATTTACTTTTCATTCTAGCCAATTGAATTGTTAAAATATGTTATGAACCAAAGACTTCAGAAAGCCATGGTATAATCAACTAGTTTAATCACATTAAAATATGGGACATATGTTGATATGTCTTGTGGGGAGATGCAAATTGTAAAGAAATATGCTTTGAAGGGATAACTATGGGATTTAAAGAAATAAAGCCATTACTATCCAAGATTCTTTATGTACTTGGGAGAGGGTAAAGAAGATTGTTGCTTCTATTTATCACTAGATATTTTATTACTTGCAATTTACATTCCATGTCATTAACTTAACTCATTATAAGGAAGCCTTTTAAGTATTTGATATCTTTTAATCCAAATTGCTAAAGGTAAGATTACTTATGTAGGATTTAAATTTGTTATTAGTTGTAACATGGTAGGTTAGCTTATTATATTTTAACAATTTCAACTATTTTGGCTAGGACTTAAAACCAGAAGACAAGAACTTTTCCTATTTTGAATTACCTCATTCTTTTTGGGATCGACATTCTGGACACAAAAATTTGGAACATAGAAATCTGCGTAATTGCAGGCCGGGTTAAGGATCTATTGGATGAACTTTTCTGGTGATAGGCATATATAATCCAGAACATTTGTCCCCCGTGGGTTAAAACAACCAAAAACTCATTTTTTTTCAAGGTCCACTGTCTCCTTATAGTGATAAACTCGTGGCTTGGTGTAGTTAGATGTTTGAAACCTCACACTCACATTTTTTTTATTTATGCTTTTTGCTTTGATACAGTTTTTGTTTAATTCAATTTTTTAATGCATATCTAATCCTTAATTTAATTTTCTGATCGGACTGATGATTTTTATTGTTTCTATCTCTGTGAAAACATGAGCTCCAGGAATTTAGGGACCTCCCGAGTTATGCTGTGTTACTGCGGACTACAAGCTCCCTTACTCACATCACGACAGACTCACAGCTAGAGGAGACAGTTCTACTGTTGGCACAGAGGCATTTTTGCGAGGTGCGGTTTCTTCCGTTAGGCTGACATTCCAATATATTTCACTGCTGGCAGTGATCAATGTACGATGACTTCCTAGGAGGACAGTGCAGCTGATGACATACGTTGTTAGGGTTTTAAAATCATCATTTTAATAATTTTAATTGTATTTGTAATTGCTTTTCTCTTTATTTTATCAGTTTTGATACTCACGCGTAAGTGAGGACTGTATCTTATTTTGTAAAATTTTATATTGATTATCTGCTTCTGTTGTATTAATTATATATTGCCCAGACAGTTTTGTTGCAAACAATATTATTTAATAGGGGCAAAATGATCATTTATCCAGAAATAATTGCAAATAAGTTGTTTTAAATAAACTCTCACAAATAATCAGTCAGCTTCTCAGAACAATCTGTAGATTATCAGGTTCTCAGGATAATTTGCAAATATACAGTTTTAAATAATCTGTAGTTGACCCAAACATACCCTAAGAAGATTTTGAGTGTTATGTTATGTACATAAAAACCCCAAAATATAATATCAAAGTTTAACACTTAGATATGTGAAAATGGTAGGAATGTAAATTTCCCAATTATACTTGTAGCTGTTCAGTCCAAATGAGAAAAAAAATACCTTATCCATTTGCATGTACATCTTTTAAAATTTTCTTCTTCGTCTGATGCTACATGGCTAAAACCTCTGCAACCCTAGCTGCACAGCTCTCATAACACTCCTTCCCCTTGGTGGTTGTGTCGCGGGAATGGAAAAAAACGATGATGTCCGTTTCATCCTGGCCTCCATCAAAGTCCCTGCTTTGCTTAAAGATCACCCCACTCACAAACGCTCTGCCCTGCCGTTCGGCCGCCATGACTTCTCATTTCACCTTCAAAAAGCCAAAGAATCCATTCATCGATTGGCTACGTCGCTCATTCGGTCTTGGGGACAGCCAAATCTTCTATGCTCGTCTTCGCTCGCCTTAAATCGACCTGAGCAGGAGCAGAACCCTCGGCGGCTACAGCACGGTAAGGAGGACGAAGAGCGAGTACTCATTAGCGAGGTTCTGATTCGGAACAAGGACGGGGAGGCGCTTGAACGTGCAGACCTCGAGGGTGCAGCCGCCGGCGCACTCAGGTTTAGTCGCCCTAATTCTGCTTTAACGGTGCGAGAAGTACAGGAGGACGTGCACCGCATCATTGATAGCGGCGTCTTTTGTTCCTGTATGCCAGTCGCTGTGGACACGCGGGATGGGATTCGGTTGGTTTTCCAGGTAGGGATTTTCAGCTCATAGATATGGAATTTCGGGTGTTTAAAAGATTGTAAAAATTTCGGCATCCTAATTTTTTTTTGTCTGAATTTATTGTTGCGCTGGAGTTCAATGAGAAGTGTTGTTTCATTTATTTGATCCTTTCAGTGCTGATTTGGGAGAGATTGAACAGTTTGCTTGTAACTGTGCATGCGGTTGCTTTGGTAGATTTTCTTCAACAAATGCAATACTTGCAATTTTCTTTTCAGTTTGATTTATGAATAAGTGAAAAGAAAGCGCAGGAGAGGAAACAGAGGTTAGATATTTTGAAGGTATACTACATAAAGACCCGTATTATTGGAAAATATCTTATTATTCTGCATCGTTACACTAAAGTTTTTGATTCGTTATGCACAAGAATTATTTTTTAACAATCAAGTACATGTTTGATTAACTTCACAAATGAAATTGTTTATCTTATGGAGCTATACAGTATAATTAATTAAATATTAAAACTATTTTAATAACGTCAAATTGAGTTTAAAGGTGCTTTTGAATGGGAGGCATGCTGCTTGACATTTACTTTAGAACAGTGAAGCCCTATGTGCACTGATTAACTTGCTCTACTAGTATCCTCATAATATGTTTCGTTTCCCCTTCACAGAAAAAAAAAAAATAGAGAAAACTGTTTGATTCAAAAACTAATTTTGATTTAGCTACCAAGGCTTGAGATACTCCGAACTCACATCACCTCATTGCTATCAAAGTAAAATAGAAAAGTAAAAGAAATAATATAGGAGAAGAAATCTTAAAACTCGATGTTCTTATCTCTCATAATTATGTTAAAAAAGAAGCGCAATTAGAGATTTATATAGTCTTATGTAAAGCTAGCCACATTGCTAATCAATTAGCACCATCATCCAAGAAATGAAATATTGAAACATTGGTATGCATGCATTGAAATGACGAAGCCATTGAAATTGTGTTTAATTTTTCTTGTATTATGCGAAAATAGGTGAAGATAAATAAGACTAAATGGCATATCCAAAATGTTGGGCCATTTAAATGTTGGCTGACTTGGGCTTATGAGGCTTTACAAAGGTGATAGGACGGTGAGATTGGCCTTGGTAGGGTTGTTGGAGAGTTAATGCCCCTCACAAAAGGAGCCAACCTAGGGCAAAACTAGGTTAAAATCTAAAAGCTTGCTTTATGTAACATAAGGGTTTTAGTGTATTGAAAATATGAATCGTAGAACTTAAAAACATTTATAATTGTTATTATGCTATGTCTAAACTTGATCTGGAGCATTTTATAATTTTCTAGTGTTTTATGGGTGTTTAGTATAGGTGTGAACAAGGCTAGGTCATGTGGAATATCCCATTGGCGGAGAGCCCTAGAATGGGGTTGTTGGCTTAAGTGGATGTAACATAGATGTTATCAAAGCCTAAAAGTACTTGTGAATGATAAATTACTTTTTTAATCTGAATCTAGACAATTTCACAAATTTTTTAGGGGTTTTGGTCAGCCAATTATAGTTTAGAATAAGACTAGTGCTTCTTCATGTAAGGTTTGGCTAATAATGCTCTGAGGGTTTCTGGATGAATTTTTGTGGGATTATAATCAGCGATATCATAGGAAATTGTAGAGGAAATTTTATTGCAAAGATCCACAACAAACGAAATTAGGGTTAAGTAAAATAAATTGCCTTATCACTCACTTTAGTGAAAAGTGTTGAAACAATCACCAAATTCCTCAATGGTGAAGACAACCACCACGGCTCCTCATGCTTGGAAGACAGTAAGATTTTAGTAAAAAACACATACAATTTTATTTTGCTTTCATTGCAACAAGCAATTATAGTTTCTTGCAAAAAATAATTTTATATTACACAGAGAGGTAAGAGGTAGAGAGGTGACCGCATATTTTTAATAAAAGGAAGGTTGTTTACTACCATGTAACTAGCCCTCAAAATGCTTTAGCCAGCAATTCAAGGGTGCAAAAGTTTATTTGTTTTCTTTTATACAAATAAACATGTTTCAAGTAAATTTTAATGAATTTTATGCAATATTTGAAAATCTAAATTCAAAATTTATAATTTTTGAATTTTATAATTCAAAATTCAAATGTATAAAATTTGCATATTATAAATTGAAATTTAAAATTTATAGTTTTGACTATTAAGAAAACATCGTAAAATGTAGTTTTTATATAATATTCTTTACTTTGCTTCTGGGCATGGGTTCGTCCTTAGTTGCAACTTTTTTTGGCTTTGCTCTTTTGGTTAATGTGTGATACATTAAAATTTTGGAAAACTGTTATTGAACATAGGTTAATATGTGATACAGAGATTTCTCATAATTAGTTTGGATTTATGCCCGGTAAGTCTACTATGAAAGCTATATATTTATATAGAGGTTTGATAGAGAAGCTGAAAGAGAGGATCTACATATGATTTTTATCAATTCATAAAAAGCTTACGATAAGGTTCCAAGAGAAATTTTTTGGAGAGTTATAGAAAAGAAATGTGTTGATTCGACTTATATCTAAGTCATTTGAGATATGTATACTAGAACTGTCACTTGTGTTTGAACAGAAGGAGGATTGACCAAATATTTTCCTATTTTAGTTGGATTACATCAGCAACCGGTTTTAAACCCATATATTTTTGGTTTAGTTATGGATGCTCTTGCTGGACATTTACAGGAGGATGTACCTTCATGTATGCTTGTCGCTGATGATATTTTTTTTGTGGATAAGACTTGATACAGAGTTCAAGAAAAGCTTGAATTATCGAGGTCTACATTAGATTCTAAAGACCTTCGTTTGAGTAGATTTAAAACTGAGTACATGAAATGTAATTTTAGTAGTAATGGATCTAGTGACAAAGTTGTAACTATGGGTGTTTAAATTATTAAACGGTGTAAACATTTTAGATATCTCGGGTCCATTGCTCGAAGTGATGGCAATATAAATGGGGATGTGATTAGTAGAATTCAAGTTGGTTGGTTGAAGTGGAGAAATGCATCAGGACTATTGTGTGATTGAAATTACCGCTTAGACTTAAATAAAAATTAAATAAGAGGATAGTGAAACCTGTAATGCTTTATGGTGCAGGTGCTGGCCTTTAGAAGAGAAGCATAAAAGTGTTGTTGAGATGAGAATGTTTAGGTGGATGAATGGCTTGACACTTCGAGATAAAATTTGGATTGTTTGTATCGATGAAAGAGTTGGTGTAGCTCCGGTTGCAAACAAGATTAGAGAGAGTCGTCTTAGATGGTTTGGTCACATTAATTGTTGATCATCTGATGATCCGGTTAGGAGAGTAGATGTTTTAGATTCTACTTATGTTAAGAAAGGTAGAGGTAGACCTAAAAGACTAGGGCATATTGCATAAAAATGAACTTAATTTGTTTAGATTGTCTTTTATGTGTAGTTTTGGAAATTTATGGGTAGAGGTTGAATAGCAAAAAGCGCTAGCCATTCACTTGAAAGGGAAGTGAGGGGTTTGTTGGTATACTATTTAACTTTTTTTTTTTGTACGAGTAGTGCCATTTAGGCATTAATTTGGGTTTGATTTTATTGTTAGGGAAAATTTGGAATTTTTTTATTTACTTTGGAGGAGAGCTTAATTTACTAATTTAGGTTTATCAATAACAATTGAGAACCATGAGCTTAAGAGTTATTTGGTTAGTTAACTTTCGGGTATTTGTGTTTATCTAGTAGCTTTTTAGAGTTATTCAAAACTATTTTTGGTTTTTTATGCTTTCAAAAAATTGACAAACACTTTGTGAACCTAGTTACTTCTCATATAGAAAATCAGGAAGTTCCGTCAAATTATTTTAGTTTTCAATTTTTTTATTGTACATTACCTCAAATATTAGAAAACTGACATTTTTATTGTGAGCTATGGTTTTTTCAAGAGAAGGGTCTATTTTAAGAGATGTAATATTTGATTTTTAAAATGCGAGCCAGCAGCTTGAAACCTCAAAGATTTTGTAATTTTAATTTGATCATGAATTCACTCCATTGATTCAATTTTTTAAACTCTGTTAATTGTTCGTCCCTTTTTTTATAATTGGAGCTTATCTATTATTTCAATAAGAGTTCTAGCACTCTATTTGCATTCATAGTAATGGCTTGTGTTACCATATTTGTTTAGTTGATCCTTTATAAATGAAGAATATAGTTTCATTAAGCTGATCTTGAATTACTTGGGGTAGTGTTGATGATGATGGTTTTCCTTTGCTTATATCTTTATTTGGAAAAATAATACTTAGATTAGTGTAGAGAAGATCTTGACACAATTATTGCTTCATGATTTGAAAAATATGATTATCATTACTCCACTATTTCTCATGGAATCTAATGAAATCAATGGCACACATTACTACACATTCAATTGCATCAAATGGCTGATAAGAACTCTTAAAAATTTTAACATTTTGTGAATCTTGCAAATTTTTGTATCATTAAAAGAGTGTAAATGATCTTAATCTTGCTTTTAAAGTTCATAACCTTAAAGATTTAACGTGGAAAAGAACTATCATTCATCTTTTATAAGAGAAAATCAGCCTTTAAGCTATCATGTGATAGAGGACTGGCATGATGATTGGATAATAGTTTGTCATTCCTCTTCCATTCCACATTGAATGACTTTTTCATGGACCAGCATTTAACCATGATTAATAATCTAATTATATGTAGCATGAATTCACTGTGGTTTTGGGAGAAGGTGGTCGTTTGGCTTTTAATCATAGGTTGCATCTTATTCATTAATTCAAGCTTTCAAAAAAGTAAGTAATTTGCCCTTTTTCAAATGATATTAGATCATTTCATAAACTTTGGCGGTGTAAAAGGGCACCCAAGGCGAAGAGACTGACATGATTGTCAAGAGGACAAGATAATTATTTTCATGTTTATTGCAATTCATCTTGATTGACCAATTCATGTTGATTGACTAAGTCAAGGACTAACATTCAACCTTAATTGCCAATCAACTCATGTGCAGTATTGATTCATTGCAC